GTATTATACATGGGTTATTGATGATTGGATTTTTTTATGATTTTTAAGCTCAAAAAATGATGATTGTATGATACTGGTCATATATTATACATAAATAGATATGGTAAGTTGTCTCTACAACATGTTGCACAAAGCTAAATAAGAGGAGTTTACTGAATTCGCAAGTACATGACCAACAACTTTTTATCAGAATCCCAACAACGCAGGAGTCGACACTCAAGGCACATTATGCCGTTGCACTTCAGCTCACTTGTTTATTTTGTGTTTGCTTCAAACATTTTGTATTTATAATTATTAAACAAGAGTACAACTCTTAAACATGCATTTGAGCATGAAAACTATTAAGTTACTGCAGTGTATGTTGACTTAATAAACATATATGCAAACATTTTTAAATGGCCGTTTTACTGGGTAAGTTTGCAGTGCAGTGGTCTTCTAGTAGTGTCAACAAAAAAGTACAGTCACGTCCATCATTTAAGCAGCCCATCCCTGATTTAACTTTATAAAAAAATACATATTTAAAACAAAATTTAAAAATAAGTGCATGATGACAACATTAATATTAAATTCTTATAAAGCAATTTTTTACTCCAATAAGGACTACTGTTATTATTTGTTACAAATGTGGTGAGTTTATAATTGGAGTAATTGTTTTGTAATTTGATTCTTGAAGATTATCTCAAAAAGCCAAACCTGGTGTTCTGTGACCGACAGTGGGGCCCTGACCCTTTCTTTGGGAACCACTGTTTTGAAATGCTCGTTGTCATCTGGTCGCTGCACAAGCTATTCATATTTATGCCGCAACATTTCTAAAAAGCAGCAACCTGACTGTAAATAACATTTTCAGGGCTTCAGTGACCTTAAAATAATCATCCCCCCTGACTGCTTTAAACTAATATAGCCAAAGGCTGACTTTTACACCGTCATAATGTGGGAATAAAAAGGTTCAAAGATGGATGCTTTAACAATCAACAGAAAACCTCTGCAGTAAATGCTGATAAAATAAAGCGGATCTCACCGACAGGGGATGTTTGGTATCTCTCAGTGGGCTCACTGGGTGGTCCGGGTCCAATGGCATTAACAGCATACACTCTGAACTGGTAGTTAAGGTTTCCCTGTAGAAAGAGCTCGGCTGTTGCCTGGTTACCGGCGACTTTCTGCAGCTCCCTCCACCTGCCAGCCTCCCAGTGGCTCTCCTCATACTCCACCACGAATTCTGAACGCACACAGGAGAGACGATCAAACACATTCGGTCATCACTGTACAGCTAATAGTCACAGCTGAAATATAATCATAATTATTAGTGTCTAATAGGTGTGTAGTTGAGCAGTTTGATCAATGACCACGTAGACATTTAGTTCTGGTCAAGAAGTAAAAAAGAATCTCCCTCAGAAATAGATTTTTGTTGACTTCCTTCACAATTACTTGACATCAATTAACCATCCTTTTTAATAATTGCTTTATTTTTTGTCCTTGGTTATTTTTTCAATAAACAATCACAGATATCCTGATAAAATATAGAGGAATTCTGGGTCAGCCAAGGTTCTGCTGAAGTTTTCCTTTCGCAGAAGTAGGTCCCTGTTTTGCAAGCGCACACACGCATGTAGGTGGCATAGCACACCACCTCGCAGACGGCGTCACACATTTCCTCTTATCAACATTTGCTGGCAACGTGCCAAGAAATAACAGCCAAGCCAAGGGGAAAGGTAGGAACGAGGAGTGAAGGTGAGATATGGCGCAGATAAGAACACTTCCTCTCAGCGATAGCTTTGCTCGCCTTATTCATTTGCATCGAACCGCACAGCCTGCAGTGGGGTCTTTCAGGTTTATTGCTGATGTTGCGCAACCAGATGTGAGAAATAAAACTCAAAACAGATGCTCTCTCTACCGTGGCATGTTTTACAATTGACACGGGGGCCAAACACAACAAAGTATGCACGCAAGTAAAGGCTTTCATATGTGCTGGGGATCATAGCAGGGAGATTCCTCATGTAGGTTTCAAGGGTTAATTTGTATTTAAGCCTCAAGGAAACAAAGCATGTACTGAATGACGGTAAAGTTGTAAATAACGTTTGTTAGATTTAAAAATGGTTGAGTATTGTTGTTCTGATACCGTTGCATTGATACCAATACCAGCATTTTCACAAGTACTGGTACTCGTAAAAAAAAAAGCCTGGAAATCAAAACTGCTATCAATACCAGCATACTGGTATCATTACTCTATTGAAGCTGCTGCAGTTTACTTTTCAAGGGAAATGTAAGTTGTACAAGTTGAAAGAAAATCTACAGAAGAGGAAAGAATTCACCAAAGACAAAAAATGGACAACTTATCTCATAATTATGAGATCTGGATTTAAGATGGCATTATTACAAGACATTATGTCATAGTTGTGAAATAAGATGTCAAAAATTACATAATCCTGATCTAATAATTATGATAAAAGTGAAGGAAAGTCATCGCTGACCTGTGAAGCAACCCCTACTGGTTTAATTGCACCTGCAGAAAGAGAGTGGGCTTTTTGCCTGAACAACCCCAAGGACTTAATGTCGACATACTAATATTAATGCCATCCACACTAAGTAAATGCAATATTTCCCAGTGTCTCATACCTGTGAGGAAATGAAAGCACATCAAATCCTCTTTTCCTGTACTGTAGGTCAGCTATGACTCTCCTTAACTTTAAGAGAGCAGGAGCTCATAATTATGGCATTTTTTGTTGTAATCATGACATCTTATCTTATGTAGTTATGTAGTTACGAGGTCAGGATCTTGGCATGTTGTAGTAATATTTGTACATATTTATACATTGAAACTGAGGATAAGCGCTGCTTTAATAGTATTCAGATTCATTGCAAAACTGAAGGATATAATATCTAATGTCATTTCGATTTAAAAATGCATTATAAGTACAAAAGGTTTACACATATATATGTACATGTTGTATGTGATTCCCTATAAAAAATCAATGCTAATTTTACAATCATGAGTTCACAATTCCATCATTATACAGTAGGTAGTGAAGAAAAATGTAACATCAAACCGAATAAAAAAGTGGAGCATAGGCAGCTGCTCCTGATCTCTGGTAAAAGCGCCTTCTTCATAAAATATTCAGCACTCCACCTACTCCCGCCCTATATCAAAACTTCACGTTTTCCACTTTATTCCTTTCAAACTTTTACCTGTGATCGAGCTGTTGTGATCACTCCCAGGTTCCCACGACAGAACAATATTCCTCTCACTCTTGATGTCGGATATTTTTAACCTCGTTGGAGCATCAGGAGCGTCTGCAACATCCGTCATTAAGGTGCACAAAGTGGAAACGTTCAATTAGTGGCCTAAAGTAGAATTTTACCAAAATGCAAAACAATCTCCGTGAGCTTACCCAGTACTGTTAGCACGGCAGTGGCGTTGACCTCATCTAGGTGTGTTTTGGCGATACAAGTATACTTTCCCTGATCGCTCAGGTTCACGTTCATGATTTGCAGCTGGCCAACATTCACTTTGTATCTGAACATAGAAAAACATTTTTACAGCATAGGTAGGGTTCTTTATAAACGTTCTAAACAGTAAATATAGTACCTGTTGTAGATAGCTCTTTGAACAACATCAGATTGTAGAAACTGAGTTCATTAATGAGCATGCTGACAGGCTAGACAGAGTTAATATCAAAGCTTTCTTACAGCAGCTCCAAACTGACAAATGTTATATCATTTCATACAAATGCCAGTTTATAAACTTTACACTGGTGTCTGTTTTGCATTACAGTTATTCCACAGGAAATATTGTATTTGTGACAGAAGTTTCCTATGCTGCATTATAACGTCCGCCAACAGCGAGGTAATGTTTTCGGTCGCGTATGTCGGTCTGTCAATCTGTCTGTTTGTGGACAAAATTAATCAAAAACCTGTGGACGGATTGTCATGAAATTTTTACCACATGTGGGTACTGTCCCAAGGAACATGACATTAAATTTTGGTGATGTTCCGGATCATGATGCGGATACAGGAATTTTTTATTTCTTTTAAACTTTAGTAGAACTCTGAGCTCTAAAGCTGTGATGCATTTACAGGGCTTCTGTAAAAAACTGTGAGAGCTTTCAGTGTTAAAATGTTAAAAACCTGCTTAAATGTTCGCTACGTCAGAATTCCATCAGCAAATGTGTTTCCATCTCTGCTTTTGCACATTTACTCTATTACAGGATGGGGGAAATTGGTCTTGACGGAGGTTTGCACTCTCCGAGTGCTTCTAGTTTAAATGTGTTATTTTTATTGTTATATCAATTAAAATGTAATGTCAAATAGATTTTGAACAGAGTTTGAAACAACCTATGTCAGGGCTATTCAACTAAATTGCTCAGGGGGCCACAGTTACTCAAAGCCAACAGCTCACGGGCCTAACATCAGGGGCCTGATAATGGAACAAGTATTATCATATTTTGTCTTTGTTTATTTTGTTGCATTGAGTAAAAAATTTGAAATTTACAGTTTCAAATATATGTTTCAAATAAATACATTTAGGTTTCAGATTTTCCAACTGTTGGCAGGCTGGACCGAAGTCACCCCTCACTGGTGGTTTGGATGTGTCCCGCAGGTTGCAATGGAATCACCCTGACTTATGTGATTTTTATTTAGTTTAGAGTTGTTGGTTTAAGCATGAGTAGCACAGTTCATGACAACGCCTCACTATTAAAGTATGAAGTCTCTATTAGAGCAAATTGTTCACTTCCTTATACTTCTACACAGACACATGTAATAATTTGGAAGCCACAAAGCTTTTGATTCTTTTTACTGTGACAATAACATTCAAATAGAGACATTTATTACAGTCATCATGATCAGAAGTGCAAAAAAATTTTAAAAATAGATTAAAAAACACCATCAAAGCACAGCTAGGTACCTTGAATTTTCCTCTGAGGAGAGTAAGATTTCCTCCCCATCCTTCCTCCACAGCACCTCAAAGGTGTTCTGTAGACTTTCATCATACTTTGGATCGCACATCAACTGGGCTGAGGTCCCACTGATGATCTGCAAATCCTGTGGTGGACGAATTATTTCTGTGGGGTCTACAGTTAAAAATAAAATAAAATAAATTAGAGACAGACCTTAAACAGATACAATGACGATGTTTCTTATTAAGCTAAAGCCGGAAAAATAATCATTCCTAATCCCAACATGCTACAAACAAGATTTGAAAAGGCTGAAGTGATTTAGTGCATAAATGAGTCAGGAACTGACTCTTTGATGGGATAAATGACTAATCGAGTTTTATTAGACTGCAAATGAGGTTAAAAGTGTTTCAAATGCTGTTCCATCACATCCTTATTTTGACTGCATCTTTTAAAACATCAATTAGAGATGAAGCTCGAATTGAGATGCTGGGATGTTAGATTTTTCAGGATGAATATGAGGCATGCTAGTTTTAATCATATCATTACTCACAACAAATTATATCCCACATTGAAACACATTTTTTGCAAAACCACATGAAAAATGACCTGCAAGATCCTGACCTTACAATAACTTCACCTAACCTTAAAATAATGAAAGTGTAATTACAAAGAAAGCATTTGAAGCTGTTTATTTCAAAGCAGCACCACACCAGTTAAGGTAAAAACAGGAACAATGTTGCTAAAATACCTTTCACATCCAGCACAGCAGTGAGAAATGACATGCCCTCTGCATTGCTGGCCACACAAACGTAAATTCCACTGTCGCTTTTTTCTGTGCCGGTAATTTTCAAAGCTTGTCCATTCTCGAAAATATGGAATCGTTCTCCTTTAATTGCCGTGTCATTTTTGATCCTAGAAGAAAACAGATTAAAATGACGATGAATGTACAAGTCATTTATTATCAATAAAGCAAATGAAAAGTCACTTCTCCTTCCAGAATAAATGTTGAGCCAATTTGAGCTGAGTTCTTTGAAACAGTCTTTTATAAATTAAGCAATTAGGCAACTACATTTTGAGTTAGAGTACAACATGGTTTGGGTGGCTGACTGTTAATGAGAAGTCAAACATCATTTAATACAATCAGACATTAAAGTGGTTTTGTAACACTTAAAGCATTTTGAGAGTTCATTGGTCCATCCATCCATCCATCCATCCATCCATCCATCCATCCATCCATCCATCCATCCATCTTCTTCCGCCTATCTGTAGTCTGGTCGCAGAGGCAACAGGTCCAGGAGAGAAACCTAGATATCCCTCTCCTCAGCAACACTTTCCAGCTCGTCCTAGGGGACCCCGAGGCGTTCCCAGACCAGAGAGGATACATTATCCCTCCAGCGAATCCTGGGTCTTCCCCGGGGCCTCCTCCCAGTGGGACGTGCCTGAAACACCTCTAAAGGGAGGCGTCCAGGAGGCATTCTAATCAGATGCCCGAACCACCTCAACTGACTCCTTTCGATGTGGAGGAGCAGCGGCTCTGCTCCGAGCTCCTCCCAGATGGTGGAGCTCCTCACCCTATCTCTAAGGCTGAGCCTTAGAGATAGGGTGAGGAGAAGGAAGCTCATTTCAGCCACCTGTATCCGGGATCTTGTTCTTTCGATCGTGATCCACGCCTCATGACCATTGGTGAGGGTTGGAACAAAGACAGACCAGTAAATTGAGAGCTTTCCTTTTTGACTCAGCTCTTTCTTCACCACGACTGACTGAAGCAACGCGGCCCTAATCCATCGATCCATCTCCTGCTCCATCCTACCATCACTCGTGAACAAGACACCCAGATATTTAACTCCTCCACTTGAGGCAGAGACTCTCCCCAACCCGGAGGGGGCATTCCACCCTTTTCTGGTCGAGAACCATGGCCTCAGACTTAGAGGAACTGACCTTCATCCCGGCCACTTCACACTTGGCTGCAAACCGCCCCAGTACATGCTGAAGGTCTTGGACTGAAGACGCCAACAGAACCACATTATCTGCATACAGCAGAGATGAGACCCTGTAGTCCCCAAACAAGACCCCCTATTCTCCACGACTGTACCTTGAGATCCTGTCCATAAACACAAACAGGATCGGAGACAAGGGAGAGCCCTGGAGTCCGAACGCACTGAGAACAAGCTTGACTTTGTGCCAAGAATGCAAACACAGCTCCTGCTTTGGTTATATAGGGACTGGATTGCTCTTAGTAGCAACCCAGACACTCCATACTCCTGTAGCACCCCCGATAGAATTCCCCAAGGAACATGGTCATAAGCCTTCCCAAAGTCCACAAAACACATGTAGACCGGAGAGGCAAACTCCCATGACCCCCTTAGCAACTCTGCGAGGGTAACAATCTGGTTCACTGTTCCATGCCCAGGACCTTGAATCCAAGGTTTGACAATAAATCAGAACCTCCCTTAGAACACCCTGGAGTAAACTTTCCCGGGGAGGGCGAGAAGTGTGATCCCATGACAGTTAGAATACACTCTCCGGTCCCCTTTTTTTTAAAAATAGGAACCACCACCCCGGTCTTCCACTCCACAGGAGTTGTCCCAGTCCTCCATGAGATATTGAAGAGACGTGTCAACCATGACAGCCCTACAACATCCAGAGCCAGAGTTCATTGGTCTCTTGGCAAAAAGAACTAACTGTTTTAAATGAAAGCAAACTACTCTTTGCTTACCAGGAGATGTCAGATGGTGGAGAGCTGAAAACACTGCAGTTCATGATGACATCCCCTCCAACAATCACCTGGTACTCCTGGGAGTTGTTTGTCAGAATGAGAGGAGCCATGTCTGAAAACGAGTCGAGGGAGATAAGACAACAGAGGTTCAAACGTCAAGTTGAAAAAGCAGAATAGTCAGAATTACTCAGCTTTTTAAAAATATATATGTTTCTGTTGAGCGTTAGGGTTGTGTTGGTTCTATCCAAATGTTTAAAAAAATGTTGGTAGCTTCAGTTTGGGTTAAAATAATCTTCAAATCTTTGCTGTTCCATTTGTTTAAATCATAAGCTAATTAAATCTTTTATGATGACATTAAACAATTTAACTTTAAGTCTCTCTCTGATGATATGTTTCTGTTGTTGTAAGTGACTCTGCAGATTGTGCAAGGCTGAGATTTTCCAAGTTACTCACTCATGACCAAGACGTTGATGTTAGCCAGAATGCTGCCATGATTGTTGGAGGCCTCACACTGGAAGACAGCACTTTCATTTGCCCCGGCTTTGTGAATCACCACCGTGTCATCGAGCACTTGCCTATTGTTTAATGGATCATCTGATTATAACACAATATGAAAACAATTAGGAATCACAATCAATTCGGGAAGAACATTTTTATACGCCCATCACTCAAACTTTTGGATTGTACCATTTTTAGATTTTCCTGTAGTTAAATTTAATAGCATTCCAACTGTCAGAAACTAGTTTTTGTATTCTTGCAAGAGAAAAACAGTTTTTACTTTTAATCATTTCAGCTCAAACAATCTTCATATATTGTATTCTGTGTGGTGTGACACACTGCATTCCGAATCTTGTGGTTAAAATCAGTTAATTTGGTAAATCACCAAAGATTACCACCACCCCTCCATCCACACATGTTGTTTCTGACCTCTGAATATTTTCCCGTTCCTCCTCCACGTTATGACTGGTGGTGGATTTCCACTGACTGAACACTTGATAACAACATCGGACCCGATCACATTCAGCTGGTTCTGAGCTGGATCTGTAGTCCATGCAGGTGGCTCTGTAAAATACAGAGACAAGCCATGATATAGCCATTTTTTACGTTTGCTAAGGCTGATTGGCTTTTGCAGCCATCTTGAATCAGACAGCCTTTAAACGTTAATCAGTTGAAGCTGTACATCCAGGGATTACTTTCATACAGTGTCATTAAAATGTGTCTCCTAGTGCTGACTGACCTTCCACTGTCACATCAAAGTAATGGACAGCCTTTCCAGCTGAGTTTTCAGCCGTGCACATATATTTCCCCTGATCCTTCTGGTCCACAGAGCTTATGGTCAGCAGCCTTTTAAAGTTGCTCAATTTTACCCGATCAGTCAGACTTTCTCCCAGTTTCATCCACGTTACGCTTGGGATGGGACTACAACATGAAACAATGACAGATTAGAAAGGCAGACACAAATCCGAGCATTGCATTTATGCTGAGAGTCCACGTACAATCCTCCTGGTATACACTCCAGCTGCAGATTGTCTCCTTTCAGCAACACCTTCACCGTCTGAACACCAGAGGGCAGCAGAAGGCTGGGAGCTTTCACTGGTAGGTGCTCAGCTGCATTTGATTTGGTTAAAAAAAAGAAGAAAACAATAATGCTCCTCACTTCTGTAAACATTCTTGCCAATGATCGTTTAAATGGAACACCAAGCTCCTGCTCCGCTGGGTATTAACTTGTTGGGTATCAGTGCGACTAGGACTTACTTGCGTTCCCACTGTCAGAGGAGGAGTAATTGCCAGGTATTACTGAAATAAAAACATAATATCATAGGATTATTGCTAGCAGCGATATCTTGTTTTGCCAACGTGTTGCTCAATATGTCGACTGAAACCGAAACATGACAAAACAAGCTTCACTGATGAAAAAAAATAAAATAAAAATGTTTGAAGTAAAAAAAATACCAGAGCTGTTCTTTAGATGTATATTTTGTAGAAACTAAATGTGCATGGTTTAAAGAAATAATATTAATCCCTCAGTCTGTTAGAAACTTACATCTTTCAACTTGAACAACCATGGGGTTTTTCTGGACGATTGTCCGTATTTTAGTAAAGGCAGCACAGCAACAGTAATCCTCAAAGCTGTCCTTCGGTAAGGCGTAGGAGAAGTACAGGTCGCCATCTGCTCCCATGGAGACCCTCTCATTCTGTTCAATGTGCTTGAGACCTGGAAAATAACAGGTTTGTATCAATGATGTTCTAGCAGTTTAAAAAAATATTTTATTTTTGCTCAAACTTCCGAATGAGGAAGATGCGGCTCATCAGATGAACGTCACAAATAGTGTTTTTGTTTGTTTGTTTCATGCTAAACTTATGAGGACAATATTTCATCTTCCATGATGTTCAAAACATTTGACAATGTCTGGAAACATAAAACTTTAACAACAACCGAAGTGAATTTAAAGCAAGTGCACCGTTCTTTTATATTCTTTGAGCCAGCCAACATGTCCTTCAGAGCACTTCAAAGTCTCTTCTTTTTTCTTTTTCGCATCCGTTGGATTAGTTGGGTAGGAGTTGAGGACCTTAAAAGAGGTTGGACTGAAAATGTGACCCTCGTTGATGAAGCACTTCAAACCAAACTGAGGTTACCTTTTACACTCACTTCTTCCTGGCTGTGGTGGGAAAAGAGGCCCTGGTGTGAAAGAAACTTACCTCAAATATAAAACCTGTGTTGTCTCTGTTAACTTAACCTCCACTCAGAGAATCACATAGAAGAATTCACCTATCCTACCCAACAGAATAAACCTATGACTTCTTTTAGAGAAAAATATAGTTTACAGTAAACAGCAAATTTGCCCTTCTTGAAATAATTCTCCTAAGATTTGAGGGATTTTTTAAAATCAGCTTTTTGTTTTATTTCTGCCTTAGATTCAAATAAAATAAGCAAATATAAAAGTAAGCACCCAGTTCACAGATTATTTTTTGCATTTGCTGTGAATTATTGTCCTTCCCCTGATGTTCTTACTTAGATTGACATCTTTAAGCCACAAATCCTCTTAGAAATGCTGATATGCTCGTGTTGCATGAGGCTTGAGATGTGGAAGGACACGAAATTTGCATCTGGTTTGAAAGGCACATACAAGCTAATGTTGGGTCTGGTCTAAAGAAATGAAACATCACACCTCCGTAGCTTACGGACAGAACGGCGGAACAGCAAATGCGCAACAATCCTTTTTTTTCTGCTGCTGTTATCCTCGGCTGCTTGTCAGATCTTATTTAGCTTCATATGTTTAGGCTACAGGATTGTGCAGGACCAGAGTAAAACTGATAGACTCGAGTTTGTTGAGACATATGAAGACCTTGAGGTTTTAAACATTGTGTAGAAATGATTCCATAGTTTGAAACGTGTACATATAAAAACAAATGTGAAAAAAATGAAAAGAGGCAATTTTAGAAAATATAATTAATTGACTATTTACAGAAATAAAGGAAAAACTGGGAAATTTCAGAGCTTAAAATATACTCAGTTCCATCGCTCCATTTGTTAATGGGAGTTCTGACTGTCTTTATACATCAAAGTAATTAAATGATGAAAACTCAATCAAAATTAAATGGCTGAATTTTGTTCACGTTGCTGCTGTCAGTTTCTGGAAGGGTCCTCTATACTTAGATGAAGTCTACGTATATGCACTTACTGTTAGATTCTAATGTCAGAAAGCATATTCTCTTTAATCTATGAACTGTTGCCTAAGGAAACCCTCATTTTTATAATAAACAAAAATGTATTAGAGCATTCTTTAGTTACTGGAATATGAATAAAACCCACCTCCTACGACTTAAGATCCAACATTATAATCCAAGGCAGCACAAGCCATTAAAAAAAACAATATTGCTTACTTGTATGAGTTATCATTTTTCACCAGTCAGCATGAAAGCATATCAAACAGAAACAGTCTCGCTCACCTATAGTCATCCAGTAGATCTGACGAGGAGGCACACCTTTAGGAGGGTTGCAGTGCAGGATGATTGGTTCCCCCTCTTTAACAACAACAGGATCAAGTGTTTCCTTTGGGAATCTGGGCGACTCTAACAAAGAGAAATAACCTTATACACTGAAGTGATGACAATTGTAAGAAGTGCCAGAAGTTTTTTTTTTTTTTTTTTTTTTTGCAGAATTTACTCACCCAAAGCTTGGATCTCAACCTCCTCTGTCATGGCAGTTCCCAGCTTGTTGAAAGCAAAGCATCTGTATTTTCCCTGAAACTGGACAAAATGCTTGTTGTGAAGCATAAACGTCCCATTTTTGTTGTTGGTTTTTATTGTTGGGATGTTTGGAAACTCAAAGGGCTGGTCATCCTTTGTCCATCTGTATCTGTTGGAGGGAAATATGTTACATGTTGTGATCAGTCACGTTTTGTTCGAATATAATCAGAACTTTTTATGCTTTTTTTATGTCACCTACTTTGGTGGTGGATTGCCCCTGGCTTCACATCTGATAGTGAGAGTGTTGTCAAAAGGAAGCGTTATAACAGGACCCGATGTTTGATTTATTATAGTCGGAGGCTGCTCCACTGTAACATAAAGACAGATGAAGATACTAAACTGTAACAAGATTCCACAAAAAAAGATTCTACAACTTTAAGCTTAGCCTTTTTTTATTTTTGTATTTTGATATTTCCATCTGTTTCATGTGAAGCGGAGAGAAAAGCCCTGCAAAAACTGAACAAATTTAGATGCTAACCTAAAAACACATCGTGGTTTGACTGTCATGCATTTTTAATCAAAAACAAACCAGTTTTTGAAACTGGTTAAAATTAATGCCCAAGAAGCACAGGGAGATATGTTTTGGTAAATCTTTTGCAGGCAAAAGGAAATCACAAATAACACGTTACCAAATGCTTTGATCAGCTTGTCATACAAGACTGTAATCAGAAACAAACAAACAAAAAAAACAACACTTTTCCTTCATCTCAGTCATCATCGTACCTTCCAAAGGAATACTGATGCCTGCGATCCTGGAGCTGAAGGCCCAAAGCAGAACTAGCGATAAACTCGCTGCAAACCTCATCACACCCTACTGGTCAGTGAAGAAAATAGAAATCAGGAGAGTGTGTGGCTCAGCTATCTTCAGTTGGAATCCGGGGGGCACAGAGAACCTGCAGGAGTCAGAATCGGAAAACAAAAGTTTTGTTTTCAATAATTCATTTTCAACACAAAACAGCAGATAGAAGTGGTGATAAGATCAGCAGATCAGCTCATTTTAGAAGTGACCTCAAACTCTGATTTAAAACATAAAAAAAGTGTTGATAGTGAAAAAGAATAGTTTTTTTTTTAATTTGTTAGTTTAGCTCCAACCCTGGGGGGAGATAAAGGGGTTATGCATGAACACAACTAAAACACTTTTTGTTGTTGTTGTTTGAGGCAAACACAGATTTGTGTTGGCTGGGAAGAGCTATTTCTGTATTGAAAAAATAAATAAATAAAAGAATAAATAAATAAAATTCACATCGTAATTATTCTGATGCTTGGGCTGAAGGTTGTAAACACTAATTTAGGTGAAAACTAGAGCAAAAACTTTGTCAACATACAGTCTAGTGAAAATAAACAATAAAAAGGGATTTTATTTTGGAAAGACTCAAGAACTCAACTGATCTCGTATTTAAACCATGTGCCAATTTTTTGGTTTGAAAGGCACTGCTGCAACTTTGACAGCTAACTTTAGCGCTAAATTTCTTTAAGTTTTCTTAACTAAAATAAACTTGCATTTTGGCCGACTCATAGAACCTCCATTTACACAACAGGTTATTTACAGTACTTTTTTGTTGTTGTTTTTTTCCTTTTAAAAGGGATCCACGATTAGTTGTAACATTAAACTTTATTTGATAAACATTTATTTTAACTGTAAAATAAATACTGTGAAAATACTGTAGGCTGTTTAGTTTTGTATTTTTTTAAAAATATATTTTAACATGGACGGAGCCATTTTATTTACACACAAAGCATTCTGGGTAAATGATGATGTGGATAGATCCTCGGTGCGAGGCTACTAGCGAGCTATATCCACCCTGAAGGTTAATCTTGGACAATATCTGATGAGTGGCTCTTTTAAATGAAACCAGAGAGCGTTGACAGAGAGGAGAAGGTAGAAATGACTCAGCCTGTAACTGAAAATATGGATGGAGGACAACAGAGCTGCTTCATGGAAGAAGAACCTCAGCTTAGCCTGTTAGCTGTAGCGCTAGCCCTCACACTATATTGCCTTATATGCATAAGCTCAGCGCTAGCGCGACAAACAAGCTAAACTGAGGTCCTCCATCCATATTTTCAGTTGCAGACTGAGTCATTTTTGCATTCCCCTCTCTGTCATGTGGATGGAGGACCTCAGTGATGAGAGGACAATGTGTAGTGCTGACCTAATACATATAAGGCAATATAGCGTCGGGGCTAATGCTGAAATTACAGGCTAAGCTGAGGTTCTTCTTCCATAAAGCAGCTCTGTTGTCCTCCATCTATATTTTCAGTTACAGGCTGAGTCATTTCTACCTTCTCCTCTCTGTCAACGCTCTCTGGTTTCATTTAAAAGAGCGAATCATCAGATAATGTCCTGGGTTTACCTTCAGGGTGGATAAAGCTCGCTAGCAGCCTCGCACCGATGACCTAGTTGATGTCATCATGTACCCAGAATGCTTTGCGTGTAAATAAAATGGCCCCATCCGTGTAATATATTTTTAAACTTTTAGTTTAAAATCATAAAAACTGAACATCCTGCAGTATTTTTACAGTCTTTATTTTACAGTTTAAATATATGTTTATCATATAAAGTCTAATGTTACAAGTAATCGGAGATCCCTTTAATGTGTTCAAGAAACAGAATATATTTTTAAAATTTAATGGATCTGTAAAAGGTTATGTAATAGGGATTAAATACCCATGTCCCGTCAATATATCTTATTATTATACACAGTTTCATTTGAAAGACACCAGTCTTTCATCGTCTGTTGTCCTTCATTGTTTTGAGCTTGTAGCAAAACACAGACAAGAACTTGTCTGGAGATTATCATTTGAAGTGTAAAGCTTGGCTGGTGGCATTGCATTGCATGCAATCCACATGGCACAAAGGCTAAGCTGTTGTCTGCTACAATCACTAGATCCAAGATGGCAGTTTATAAATTGGACTAAGCCCGTCAGTGTTTCACAGCTTAGTTCTCGCAGCGCTTGAGATCGTGGCAGCAGCAGTAGTCGTGCCAAATGGGTTCACCCTGCAGCTAATCCTGCTATCAGAAGAATGAAGGCAAGAAGCTTCAGTGGTCATGGCTGAGCACTACTCCGAGTTCCTCTGAGGACATGAGGAGGTTAACGTAGTAACTGACTAGACAGCATTAAACAGCTTGAAATTAGCATTAAATAAACAAATTAGGAGGTTCAGCTTTATTTGCATTACAGATTTTGTGTGAGAGGCCAGGTAGAGTCTGGACAGGTTTGTGAGTCCATCACATGGCCACATAAAGTCAAACATCCACTCACATTCTCACCCACGCCTAGAGACAATTTAGAGTTACCAATTAACCTAACGTGCGCGTCTGTGGGAGGAAACCTGAGTGCCCAGAGAAAACCCACGCATGCACGGGGAGAGCATGGCAAGAGAGGCCCCAGGCTGGGAGGTGATCCTGCGACCCTCTCTGTAAGAGGTGACAGCTCGAACCGCTGTTCCGCCGCACCGCCTACATGTTTCCATGCTTTCACATTTCCTACGTCTCCTTCCAGTTCAGCGTTAGAGCACATTACAGACACGCATAAAACATCTGCCCAGACAAACACAGGGTCTGCGTTGGTGAGCATGCGTGCCACTGTTGTACAGGCACGAGGAAAAACTTCATCGACAGAGTTGGGATTAGCAGTTCTGTGCAAAAGTCTCAAGCCATCCCTTAATTTCTTCACGCTTTGTCTCCGAGGAGCCAGACATTCAGGTCATTATATGACCTTCTGAAGAAGAATGTTTTCTTTTGTTGTTTGATGGTTTTAAGCCACTTAACTCTGACCTATGAATCAGTCAGCCATAGAAAGGCTTCCAAACAGGGATAATTTAATGTAGCATCTACACATATCTGTAAGGTAACAATTGTTTATTAAATCTTTTAGCAATTTATTACCAGCAGTCTGCAACAATAAGGATTTGTCCTTTTTTGTAGCATCTTAAAAAAAACAAAGATAATGCTGTTTGACACAAAATTGTATTTTAGCACCAACTTGATGATTCCTAAAAAGTTAATAATTGAAAACATAAGATATCGACTCAAGGATAAGTCTTTACTGGATTTCTTTGGTTTTTACAGGATTTTCTGATACTGTTCATGTGCTGTAGGCTTGACACTTCTTTCACTCTCCAACTGCCCATTTTTTTCTTATTTTAAAGCTCAAACTGCACAATATGGTGTAATAACCAGGTGAGAGAGTTGTATAGGAAAGAAGTGGAAAGAAGTTGGAAAGAAGTCTCCTTATGGTTCCCCTCACTCGCTTCAAGACCCGTGGTGACCGTGCCTTCTCCTCTGTGGCCCCCAGGCTCTGGAATGAACTCCCTTTTAATCTGCACTCCCTTGACAACATTGTCTCCTTCAAGAAACACCTAAAAACCCTCTTTTTTACTC